TAAAATTAATTATTTAAATAATAAAAAATATTATATTTAAAAATAATATATAAAAATTATTCTTAAATCAAAATTTTTAAATAATGTTAAATTTAATTTGTAAATTATCTAAATAACTTAATAATAATTTTTTTAATAAAAATAAAAAATTTTAAATTTATATTTTACTACCAACATTCTAGGATATACTTAAACTCGAATATCTGAAGCAAGCAATAAAATTAGAACAATTTCCTGATATTACTAACCTCCAAATTGAACTCCAAAATGCTTTCCAACTACATTCTTCATCTGTCGCTGCTGTGAACTCCGGGCTGCACAACCAGCCTCCTTGTCCTGGACGGTAAAATATTGTCCAAATCAACTCAGCCAACGGATCGTCGGACAAATCGCTCTCACCATCTGATTCATCGTCCTCGCCATCACTCGAATCATCGTCATCATCCTCGTCGTCGTCGTCGTCCTCCTCTTCTATCAAAATCCCCTTCCCTTTTCTGTCCACTTGAGCATCTCCCTCATCATCGTCTTCATCCTCCTCCTCGTAGTCACCATCTTCGTCTTCCTCAGCATCAACCTCAGGTTCTTGGTCGCCGGTTTTATATTCGGCAACGGGAGTTCCCAAATTGTTGTGGTTGCTCGTCTGATTTTCTTCGTTGTCCTCAATTTCGTCCTGAGGCACAATTTTGGGGGCTTTCCGTGGGGAATTGTCGTGGTCTTGGACCTTGCGTTTGGTGGGAAATGTAGCTTCTTCAGAGCTCTTGGTTGTTGCCATTGATTCTGATGGGAAATTTTGTTTGGGGAAGGAATCCGTTGGGAATACGACTTAAGAAGAGAAAATTTTGAGGTTTTTGACCCAGTTAGGATTTTCTTTCTTCTTCTTCTTATTATTATTTTCAATGGAAAAATGGGATTCTTGACTTGAGATTTTGGAGAGTGTCCTACAAAAGAACAAATTTTTTTATCTGCAAAAGGCCCAAATTAGTCCCTCAACAAAAAAACTAGTGGCTAATAAACTCCCAAGCTCTTTAAATGGTGACAAATCAACCCTTATATAACATGTGACATCATCATTCCTCTCAATTCTATGCCAACCTCTTGATCACAACAAATTATATCCCTTTACATGATCATGTTTTGTTTTTTTTGGAAAAAATGGAGTCTTGATTCGAGATTTTGGAGAGATTCTTATTGAAGAACAATTTTTTTATTGGCAAAAACTGCAAATTAGTCCCTCAACAAAAAAAATAGTGGCTAATAAACTCTCAAACTCTTTAAATGGTGGCAAATCAGCCCTTATATACCATGTGACATCATCATTCCTCTCAATCCTATCCCTATCTCTTGATCACAACAAATTATATCTACACTATCATATTATGTAAACTTAAAATTCCCAAAAACTACGTAAATATATTATGTATAGCTTACAGGTTAATTACCACCCAGATTGAGGCATGTTTTATAACAAATATTATCATTGAATAACATAGATAAACTAATCTCCCTTTTGTGACAATATATTGATCACCTCGTTTAAGTGAAGTTAGGGTTCACGTCTTGACATAAATAAATTTGATTTTATTGAATGTATCATATTGATGTAATATATATTATATAATATCTCTTAAGATACATTGTTTACAAAGAAATTATTATTTAGGTGTAGACAAATAACTCCAGATATACTTTAATTGTTCAAATCCAAAAAAAAAAAAAAAATGCAACAATGTAAGAGCAAGCAGGGGGGTGTTTTTGGATTTTGGTCAACGCGAGGAATTCTCTTCTAACCCTTTACTTATCCTACCCACATACCTACTATTTAAATATAATTTTTTATTCTATTAAAAAAAATTATTATTAAGTCACTTAATTTATTCACACTATCCTCTGTTGATCCAAAATAACCTTTTGGTCATGCAACATAATATTATCCTCTAGCAAAACCTTTTGGTCATGGTTTTGTCAATCAAGCAGGAGGACTTATATATATTGTGAAATAAAATTCTACTTATACAGATAGAATTGACTGAGCGTGCTTAGCGCAACTTCATTAATAATTACTTTTTCTATTTCAAAACAATAGTTATGTTTTTTTTTAATAAAAATTAAGAATTTATAAATAATTTATTCTTTACTTGTATAACTCTTGACAAATAGATAAAAAATAAGTAAATTTTTTTGTAATAGAATAGATAATTAAAATCAATATGTAATGATAAGGTTAAAGTTACTAAAAAAATATTTATTTTTCTCAAAATATAAGAAAATGACATTTAATTTAAAATAAATTCTAAATTGAAAAACGAATTATTATTTTGAAACAGCTAGAAAAGAATGTAAAATTGACATTCATAAATAAAAAATTAATTATTTTCATACATTTTATTTTTAATTAGTAATCTGATTTATTTATTTGGTTGTTTTGTGCCCGTGGAAAATTGGGAATGAAACACTTGGATTAATTAAGTAAACGAAAATAATATAATTCTAATATTATATAATTCGTGAATTTATAATTTTGATATGTTATTATATAATAAAAAATAATATACTTATGCTAACAAATTAAGAAATTCAATAGTAATATCTTTTTATTAAAGTAAGAGATTTTGAATTCGAATTGTAAAGCATGTAAGTGAGGTTAATTAAAGTATAGGAGAGGATTACTTCCTTCTGTGCAACTTAGATACAAAGAAAAAAAAAATGATATATTTACAATACCATGTGGTATTATAAACTTACACCATAATGTGTCATTTAGACTTAACTCTTTTTATTTATGGGTTTACATGTAATATTTTATAAATCTACTCATTTAATGTGACATCATATTTATTTAATACTATGAAGATTGTAATGTCATGTAAGTTTGTAAGTTTACAATCCTACATGACTATAATTATCATTATATAATTAACATTTTTAATTGATTTAAACATAGTATTATATGCATCAAGTTCTTTAATATTGAATCATTATGTTGTCCTTCCTTTTGGGATAATTATACATACACCCAAACAATTAACACCCATTTCAACACCCAAGGCTAAAATGAGGAGGGGTAAATTTGTAATTTTACTGTTCATAAACCTTGGGTGTTGAGATGGGTGTTGATTGTTTGGGTGTATGTATAATTGTCCTTTCTTTTGTATCTTGATATATCAAAGATAAAACCCATGGCTAATATGAGTAATTCAATTTCCAATGATATCATCTACTTTGATTTGCTGGAGAAAATAAGATCACCTGATTGAATTAATTTGGATTTGTTCCTTAGATAGGCTTTAATTAATCAATAAAATTTAGTGCTAGTGATAATCAGACTGAAATCAATTTGGATTTGTTTCTTTTAACTTCCTTTTTTTTTTTCTTTAATTTTTCCCATCCTCTGCATCTCCCTTTGTTAAATAAAAAAAATCAGAAAAATTATTCCACATTTTCCTTTGTTAAAAAAAAAGAAGAAAAAAGATAAGATATTACTTGATTGAATGGTGCCTTTCTTTGTATGGACTTCTAATTGGATCGGATCATTCTATGTAGAAACATTGGGTCCATGTTGTTGAATTGGGCCGTCACTTAATGAGGACCAGAAGGAGCCTGGCCTACTATTCTATTCTAATTTCCATTTATCGTTTCGCTTCCGTCTAATCTTTTTACTATTTGTTGTCTAATTTCCAATACCACTCTTCTTTCTATCACATAAAAACTCAGTCATTTAACAAAAGAATTACCAAAAAAAAAAAACATAAAAATTCAGTTCATGTGCTATTAAAATTGTAAAATATTATTTTTAAAAATATTAATTTTATTTAATTTAATTGATAAAAATAACTATTAATTAATAACTAATTAAACAATTGTTATTTATTAATTAACCAATTAAAGTCAGTCAATAAATTGATACTTTCAAACACTACATAAGAATAAAAACTAAAATTTCAGTGGCTTTAACATTTTTTTATATAATGGTAATAATCATACTCAAAATACTCATGTAATTCTTAGTTATCTCTCTTTAATTATTATAAATAAGCCATCAATAAAATTAATAAATTATCTTCTCCATTCAACTTTGATTCTCTTATTTAACTTTTTAAATATGAATTTAAATAAAAATTTTAACAACGTGTATAAAAGATAATTAATTTTTTATATGACTTTTGTTAAATAGTTTTACTTAATAAAAAAACTTTTAATTTTCATTTACATTATTTTAAATGTTTATTTAAAATTTATATTTAAATAGTTTAAAAGTCAAAATAAATCAATTAAATTTAAAGAAAGGGGGTAGTTTTTCATTTTTTCTCAAGTTCTTTCAAAAGAGTTTAGTAAATTTTTTTTGCACCTAGCAACAATAAATCAAGGTCTTGACAGGTATTTAGACTATTTGGATTATTTTTTTTGAAATAATTGATAACTAATAGTTAATATTTGATATTGATAATTGTTAATATTTATAATTCAAAATATTCAACCCGTTTGATTAAAATTAACAATTAATAATTATTTCTAAAATGTTAAAAGCAAACGCCCCTATTAAAAGCCTTGAAATTTATTTATTTTTTTTTTAAAAAAAAAACCTTGAAGAAGATGTCGATTTCGTTTGTACCTAGTAGAAGCTAGTATTTCATCCAATAATTTCACTAATCCTAACATGCTGCAAGTCAAGGTCTTTCGTGTTAATAATCTTAACATGTTGCAACTTGCAAGTTAAGCGTTGGCCTTTTCACCGGACAGATAACGAGTCTTGTCCGTAGGGGGAAGACTTTCCCGCCGCATCGCCATAAGCCTACCTCAATTCTCCGTAGCCTATACCTACATTGAAGTTTTGGAAGATAAGTATTTTTTCTCTTTTTATGAAAAAAGTATTTTACAAATTATACTGTATTTTAAAAATATAACATAATTTATGAATTTATTAAATTAATCTTAATTAATTATTTTTATGTCATTTCATTAATAATAATTTAATAAGTTCAATACTTCAACTACATTTTTAATATACAATATAATTTATAGAATATAAATTCTTTTTTTTTATATGAGTTAGAATCAACTAATATATAACTCTCACATACATTATTTATGCAAAATTTTAAGCTTTCATCATTCTATTATGAATGATTTAGATTTATTATGATTTTTTTAAATAAGAAAGACAATTATCGTAATAGAGAAATGATAAAAAATAAATAAATTTTAACTATTCATGTTAAAGAAAGGAATAATCAAAATTTTGTATAAATTCATCCAATTACATATATTTATTGAAATTTGTGACTTAATATTATAAAATTTTGAAATCCTAACTAATTTAAATTAAGATTTTTTAAATTAATAAGTAATAACTCAATGAAATCAATAAGAAGATACTTATTAATAAAGAAAATTTATCACTCCCATCATTTCCCTTTTCCTTTTATTTCCTTCAAAACTAAACATATCTTAATTAAAAGCCTTCAAAAAATAATTCCATTCCCACCTAGACGAAGTTGTTCTTCCAAGGGAAGTCAAGGTCTTCCCCATCCATAACAAACATAAAGTGCAAATGCTAACAAGTTACTATTCTATCTAGTAATTTTCCTAAGAAGTTGTAATGAGTCAAGGTCTTCCTTGGCCATAAATAACACGAAAGTGTAAATGCTCAACGTCAAGGTTTGCTTCTTTTTAGGATGGATAGAGTCAACAAATCTTTATACTTAATTAACAAGGAAACATAAATTTATATTAGTCAAATTTTGTATCTCTTTTCTTATGGTGTAGTATAAAAATGTTTTTTTTTTATGAACTGTGACAATAATGCTGTGTTATAGAAGAAATAGCAAGTTAATCATGATCTTTGACTAACACGTCTAAGTCTTCCTCCAATAATTTACAAGTAACGTGAAGGTTTGCTTCTT